ACCACAACAATGTTACTTTCAATTTCAGGGGTCGGAGCAGAGAGAGAGCGAGAGAGAGACAGAGAGAGATAGAGAAAGAGATGGGGAGACAGACAGAGACTGATAGATAGGAAATGAGTACAGAGAGTAATGTGAGACAGCGATATTAACAGCAACGGGGGCAGAGGTACACGCGGCAACGACTGGTCAATTGTTGCGTGACTTTCAATTTAAAAATATATATATGTATATACATACAAACAAAGATATCTAAACAGGAAGAAAGAATATCTATATTTGGAGCACCGAAGATAGCATACTCTTGCAGATATAAAAGATATACTCTTATATTAATATTTATTTAAGTTCTACACTATTATTGCATTCAATTTATTGTTTTCGATTCATGATTTTTTTGATTATTAAATTCTAGTTTTCATAAAATATGCCCAAGTTTGATCAACTCAATTTATGACATATCAAATAGTTGCAAGTTTTCTGTTTTTTATTTAACAAGCAGTACTGCAAAGCTGCTAATCCACAATCACATGGAACAATTTTAAGTAGTATTCCCTTAGAGGGTATTCAAAAATGTTTTCACTTTTAATCCACACGCATCTACCCGTCCCAGCAGCAGAACAACAAAAATGCCTACCACCTGCCACCCAAATGTATGCAATGATTTTTTTCGTCACATTTTTTTTTATTTATTTATTTTTATTTTTTTTTGAAAAGCTAATCAATTTAGCTGTCTGGTGACATACCATGGGCCCAAACCAATGTCAATGCTGAATAAGCAATATGGGAAGGGGGGGATGTGGAGGAGGGGATAGAGACAGCGAATGAGTTTTCGGCTCTGGCTTGTGCTCCAGTCATGTCCTGTAGCTTGGTAACGTTCAACGCGTGGACAGCAGCGGGTGTTTGCGGCATGGGGATGCAGACGTCCTGCGCAGCTGGGCATTGAAAGCAGTCATTAACTTTTAAATGAAGCAACGGAAACGAGATAAGCACGTGAAGCGAGCACAGTTCGCTCCCACTCCAAGGGCTGCCACCTGCCCCCTCCCCGTCGCCCCGTCGCCCCATCTCCCCGACTCCCCGTTAACCTTAACCTCAACGTGACTGCTGTGCTGGTTGTGGTGACGATTGACGCTTGGCCATTGCCTGACGCTTGTGGCCATTTGGTGATGTTATCGCTGCCACGCCCCCTCAAATGAGCTATAATTATACAATAAGAAATAATAAAGTACCAGGCTCGCCAAGAGGTTGCACTGTTGGCTAACATTTGTTGTTCAACATATATTTTTATTGATGGACATGCGATGCGATGCGACTTCCAGCTGCTTCGTGTCTCCAGGGTGGCAAACGGTGGGGAGGAGGCAGATGGTGGGGTTGCAGTCCACTGCGCTTTGGCCTGCCCAAATAGGTTGGATCGCCCACACCGCTCCACACCGTGCGCCTCTCGCCAGAGCCCTGGGCCAAATGAGTGTTGCGTGACTTGCAGGTTTTTCGCTTTGTGTTTGTGTTTGCACTGAAAATTCCTTAATTTGCCAGGCTGACCGACCCCGCTACTTGCTTGCCAGCTCCCCCATTCTTCCACCTTCCACACCTTTCCTCATACACTGCCTGTACCCGCTCCAGTTTCTGGTTGCCCCGGCATTGTTGACGCTGTTAAGTAGTTACATTTTGTAGCGATTTGTCGAACAACACCAGAAAGCTGGCAAACAAATCGAGTGGGCACGACCGTAGACCAAGAGGGGCAGTCGATGGACAGAGTGGAGAGTGAGTACTACGAGTACAGGTAAAGCAAACAATGTTGCAATGTTGTAAGCACGTTTTTGAACTAGCAACACAGCTGAGAGGCGCATAAGTGAATACACACAGATTATTTATTATGATTATACGTGTTGCTCCCAAGAAAAAGAAGAAGAAGATGAAGAATAAGAAGAGGACGAAACACCTTAACTGATCTTAACTGATGATTGTCGAAGTTCGAGCCAGCCTAAGCAATATACATTTTTTAAATGTACAAAGCTCAATAATTAAAATTAGTTATTCGCTCGTTTTACTTAGTAGTTGAAGTTCGAAAACCCTGTCGAAAATATATATTGAATTTATGTCTTGAATATATTGATTAGCTTTAGATAGCTTAATCTAATTATTTACTTAGATAAGCGGATGAGTCGCAAAATAAAGCTCAACTATTTGAATATGTCTCTGACAAAAATTCAAACTCGCTTTCTGCCAACATTTTAGGATTCAATTGTGAATGGAAGTCCCTTGCCCCATTGCATCACAACAAGGCAGTCTATCTGTCTAAGAGTGAGATAGAAGCATACAGATACAGACAGAGAGAGAGAGAGAGAGAAAGTTGTTTTGTTTTTTAATGATTTCATATGGCTGTCATTCATTTGACAATTCCGTTCTCAATTGCTGTTGCGATGCATTGTGAATTTGTGTCACACGAAACTATGAACAACAACAACAAAGGCAACTTGTGACAAAAGTTTTTTATTATGTTTTTTTTTTTTGTCAAGATAGAAAGGGAAGGGGAGGCATAAACACAAAAACAATGAGTGGAGCTTTTGTTGTCTTCTTTGGGGATTTGAAATTTGAATTTGAAATTTAGGATGTGCGCAGCTCTCGGTAAGAGGGGGCGAGGGGGCTACAAACATGGCACTTGATTTGAGTTTGAGTATGATTTTAGGGTTTCCAAACTGTGGCAAACAAAAGCGATTCAGCAAAAGGACCAAAGGCATCAAGGATATTCTCGCATATAGGCATTGATATAAAACTACGCGTGTTAGATCTACAAAATTAATGAGTCATCGTTAAAGTTAACAACTTGCACAAAATTGTTTATCTAAAGTGGCAACTAACTCAACCCATTCCCCGCCTCCCATTTAACAGTCTATAGAGTCTATAAATTGACGTACCGATTCGAGTAAGGGGTTGCCTGAGGGCTTCTTTGAGGTTGACAGAGTTGGTTTGGCGAGGAGGTAGGGAAGGTGGCGCACACGTAATCACTTTTTAAGTGTTAGACAATTTATGATACATGAAAATGTTTTGCCAGTCTGCCAAGTGGCATAGAGGCAACACCTGACCCCAACCTCTAACCGCCCCAACCCTCAACACCCCAAGTTGTGAATAGGTTGACATTAAGACTCAAAGATTATTTTTGCCTTTAGCTTTGGGGGCTGCTGCTGCTGCTCTCAAAGGGTTTTCCTCTTCCTCCTCCTCCTCCTCCACCTCCTGCTCCTACTGTAAACTCTTCTTGTCTTCTTGTCGGCGCAATAAACACCTCAAACTTGATGACATTTCATTAAAATCAACGCCGAGGTCGAGGGGGCGACGTCAACAGTGGCGGTGGAGCGTGGGCTTGGCAAATGAATTTTACTTATGAAGCATGAAAGTGAGTTCCGTGGGTTTTCGGGCTGCTGGGTTTTGGGTCTTGGTTTAAGGACCTGCTGTTGTTGCTGCTGCTTGTTGGCGTCGGTTTCTTTTACATTGACGCAACATTTTCATGTTCATTTGGTAACAGGCAGCGACGCCGATGCCGGCAGCGACAGCAACTGCGACGCAATGAATTTCATTAAGCAAGCAGCAAAAGTGCTTTGCCACACACACATGAGTAGATGAGAGGGGGCTGAAGCAGTGAACTGAGGCGTGCAGAGTTTATTGGTCTACTTGATTTGTGTAAGTGATGTGCGGAAAGATGCACTGAGTAAGTGCTGCCAAAAGGAACGGGTTACAGCTGGGCTATGCGATGTTTAAAACCAGCTAGCGCAATGCCAAAGCCAAAGGGGTAGGGATGTGGTGGGGGTGGAATGACGGATAGCGAGAGCACAAAGTGACTTTGATTGCAAAAGCCGCAGCTGTTATACCCTGTCATATATGAGTTTGGCTGGGTATTTTATTTAGCAACAAATAGAATAGGAAGTCGGTCGATTTTGTGTAGGTGTCACAACCATGCCTGCGCCACATTGGATTTTGTTTGAAACAACTCAAAGCTATAAAGTTACCTAATACAAATATTTTAGAAATATGCCCTCGTTTGGTAAATGCTTAGTAAACTAAATATTATCTTAACTTTGGTGAAAGAAACAACAAGATGGAAGACTTGTTAAGAATTACAGTTTGTTTATGGAAATGCATAATGAATAATTAATAAATTAATAATATATAATATAGTTTTTAAATATATTCGGATCTCTTTCTTGACTTGTATACGAGGTACTCACTTAGTCTAGCACACTCGACTCGGAAGCATTTAGACTTTCTTTAGTTATTTAGCCAAAGGCAAGGTTTTTAATTATATTTTGACAGCAATTGAAACTGGTACCGGAAGCAGCGTCGTGTTTTAGCTTTTAACTTTGCTGCCCTTGCTTCTTTGACGAACATGGGCGAAACTTAATTGAAACATGTTAGACTAAAAGGTAATGCGGTTGGACGTGTTACAACCAGAAATAATGTAGCCTAACTATAGGACAGCACTCAGTAAGTGAGTGAGTTTGAGGTCTATGATCGATCTACCATATTTACAATGTATATGTAACATATAACCATAATTTCGAAATATTGTATGTTTGTATTATTTATATCACTGTTCTTTTTTATTGGCATGTAAAGCTGTAGGAGGTTTAACTTTCCATAATTGTGTCGAGACTGAACCAACTTTTAATCACAAAGATATTTGGTTCATGATTTATCCCCTCATGGATTTTCTATGCCAAAATCATTCTGTAGATCAATTTACTATTCCATAAATCAAGTCATGTGGACTTAACAACATTTGAAATGTTGCTGGCAACACTCAGCGCTGCTGGCAACATTGTTGCTTTGCCATCGGCAGACGAATGCGATTCGGTTTTGATTTTCGAGGCGGTGGCAGTTCGTGTGTGCTTTGTGTGCTTCGCTTGGGCTCGGCTCGTTGGTCGGCCGAAGGACATTCGAGTTGTGTTAGGTCCTGTCTGTTCTTATCCTGTACTGGCCCAATGCGAGCGTCGCACATCGTTTCCAAATTCAGTGCTCGGGCAACTTCCTAGCGCGTCGGTCGGTCTTTTTTAAGCGCCAAATACCATAAGCGCCAATCACTAGAGGAACGCGATTACCGTTAGACGATTACTGTTTACCGTTTGTCGTAAATCGCTTTTACGTCGACCGTTAGAAAATTATTTGAAAAACGCTTGCAGGTGTCTGAACGATACCATTAAAAAGAAAACAGCAAAATACGTGAGAAAAAAAGTGTGTTAAAACGAATATTGAATAGTGGTGCCAAACTAAAGAATTATTTTCGTTGAGTGCAATTTTTTTTGAAGTGTTTTTGAAATTGTTTCTTTTGTTGTTGCACAAATTGCTGCCACAAGTGAGTCGAAAAGGTTTTGGAAAACGTGTTGTGGAAGAACATTTTGCTGCTGTTTGAGCAAAAGGTAATTGAAGTGTTCGAATATTGTCAGTTGATACTGTAATTCAATTAAAGATTACATTTTCCTGTGTATATGCATTTCTATGTTACCGAAATTCGGTAAGAGATCTTTGAAATCTGTGCGAGTTCTCAGAGACAAATTATATATTCTTTTATTTTTAAATATAATTTTGGCTATATCATCTTATCTTATTATGAAGTGCACATATTTCCTTAATGGTTTGACAAAAGATAGGCACAGCATCTTTGGGATCTGTGCAGCATCTAATCTGCTTTCCTATCCTTCTCCTCATAGATAACGCCCACCATATAATTATTATTATGATATGAGTATGTGCTATATATATACAAATGTTTGTGTATCTAGAGCCCGTCTACGAATATTTATTGCAGCCACCCGAGTCATCAATTCATTTGCTTATGAATCTGCATTCTATATCTAATTAGTTGCCTGGCAAAACTCATGTCCCTTCGCTCTTCCCACGGCCTCCATGGATCATTTATGGGATCATTTCTGGTACTTTTTTGTTTCATTCTTCAATTTCTTTTAGACGTGCACCACGCTAATTTAAACGATGTGCAAAAAAGTTTTCGCCTTTTGCGAGGTGTTGCGACAAAAGAAGTAAACTATTCACCCACACCCACACCCCCAACCGCACCCCCAACCACACCCAACCCCGCTTTCTTTCTCTTTCGATTCCCATTTGTGCCCCCCTTCACTCGTTGCTCGTTTTTGTCAAGTTTTTAGTCGGTGTGATTTATGCTTTATTAATATTAAAAGTGATTTATTAGCCATGAAAATTTTCGCTCGTTTAAAAACTTGGCCCTGCCTGATTGTCCAGCCAGGTGTCCTGCATTCAGCGTCCTGCGTACTTTTAGCCAACGGCTTTGGCTCCATTGCACGCCTCTTTAATTAAAGACATCCTTTGTATTTCTGCCTCGTAAGCACCTCGTCCGTGCGCTGAGCATGTTGCAAGACTGCAGTCTGTCCATGTTTTTTCTTACACATTTTTTATACAGGGGGATCTGTCCCATGGTCCCCGTGCTTGTGCTCATTATCCTGCAGTCAACTTAAGCTAAACTGCAGAACGAGATTAAAATTGTAAATGACAGGCAGACTGACAGCAGTAGCAGAAGCAACAAAGGCAACTGCAACTGTCACAGCAACATCCAGATGATCGGAAACAAAACGAGACGACCAACAGCTGCTCGTTTACAACTCAAATGCGTTCAGAGTTGCAGTTGTTGTTATTGTCATTGTGCGTGTTGCTATTATTTTTACGCTGACATTGTGCTTGTTCATTTTCTTATTATTTGTCTTAATATTTTTTTTACTTAGTTTTTTCTTGCTGTGCAGGACATTGTTGCGCTTGTGACATTTGCCTGTCGCACTTTGTCGTATGTGTTAATGAAAATTAATTAATTAAATACATTTTCGCTCAGTTGCCACTCGCTATCTCAGTTTGTGTGTATGTGTGAAAGTGCATTCTTTAAAAATAAAATAATTAAATGCATGTAAAAACAGAAAATTCCGATACTCGCTATGCATGTCAATTAAATTCTTTGCTAGCAACATTTTCACAGTTTATGAATATTGAAAATATAGAAAATGTTAATATTTTTAGAAGAATTATTCTAACCAGTATTCTCAAATTGTATTATTATTGAGGAAAAATTAATTACTTTTTATTGTAATTGTATTTGCTCTATTATTAAAATAGCTCATTTATGGGATGATGGGATGAAAATATACCTGATACTTTTACATATTTACATATATGATAAAGGGTCGCATTTTGTGTAATGTTTTTAAAGATTGAATTTGTGTATTCTCAATTATTTAAGCAACTCAATTAAAAATTGTTCAACATTTTAATAAGACGATTAATTGGAAGTTATTAAAAACTTATCTTATAATTTTCGTGCCAGTTTTAGTTCACACAATGCCCCGCTGCCAATAACTCAACTTTCTCAACTGGCTTAAATATGTTTGCAATAATAGCAAACAAATTTCACACAGTCGCCTTAATTACAAGATACAATTTCCCACTGCGAATTTGAAGCTTCTGATTAATTAAAGCTTATCGAGCGCAGCAGATATCGAATACCCATTGAAGTGTTATAATCAAACCGGTTTATGCAATGCTTGTAGTTATAGTAACCATCCAATCACGTTAATCGTTTGAAAATTAGATACACTGATCATATCAATAGTGGTCAGTTAGTTGGAGTTCCAGGTTGCATTTGACTTGTTGCCTGATGGTTGATGAGGTTGTGTTGTTGGCTCGTTTCTGGTACATTTTTGGGCTGGACTAGGTCAAAGGACTACCACCGACTCCTGCCCGGCCTCCTCTCCAATATCCGACAAGCATTAAAAACAAATTAGCATAAATTTTGTGTTGTCCGTAAGCCTTTTGTTAAGCGCATAATGCAGTATCCCATCTCCTGCCCCATTTCAAAATTAAACTATGAAAACAGAGAGCTCCACCCATCCACGTCCAACTCCTCTTTACTCACTAACATATGTGAACTCTGCAGTTGATTATTTGAGGCGTAAAGGGCCAACAAAAGAAATTGAAACTGTAATTATGATGGGATTGTGGCGTAACAATAACAATTATACCAAACAACTACTGTATTTAAAAGCTAAAAAGAACAGAAAATAAAGCAGCTTGAATATGTTGTAGTGGCTGCCAAGCGACCAGATACCCTTTTCTTATAAAATACCTTACAAATTGATCTCAAATCCTAGTCAATGTTTGTGGTAGAAAACATTTGCGAGCATGGATAAAATATAATTACGAGTATTTGGAGTCGATTTTTGAGGGGTATATTTATAATGGTATATGTTTTATAACTACAATGTCGGGGAGATAAGCTCAAAGTCTGAATTTGCAGCGTATTCGATAGTCACGCACTCTCTGCTTTGTTAGTAAAAAGTTTATTATTTTTTTATTAATATTTTTTTCTTATAACTGAAAGCCGTTGTATACTTACGCGTCGTATACGTAATATGAGTACTGAACGAAGGCTGCACAAAGCGTCCTCTGATCCCAGGCAGCTGGTTTTGCTTTCGTTTTTTGCTGCCTGCCTGGTTGCATATAAATCACAACTCGATATGAGGCAACAAAAGCTCGTTGGTGCAACTAGGTGGGCGGTAGAGTGGGTAGGCAACGCATTGCCAGCTAATAAATGACGTGTCACAGCGAAGCAGAAATAAACACAATTAAAAACGCATCAGCGACAAAAGGCCACACACACTATGGATGTACTTACATAAATGAGAAAAAATGTTGTTGTGGATGCTGCACTCAGTATATGGGCACATGATTGGATGGATGGATGATGGTATAGGTATGGAGTTTTTCGTCAAAAAACATAAAAGACTGAAAAAGAGGACAAATTATATACCTTTGCAAACTAAATACAATTTTTGTTCGCGGTGGATAAATTAAATTATTACTATGGCACATAAACCAAGGTTAAATAGAAGACTCGAGAAATGTAACTTCCGAATTTGACAATTCGATGCAATTAGTATTTAAATTATGGCTTTAATAATATCATAAGAATGAAAAGGAATGGAATATAAGTATTTGCTTGAAAGACTTTTTATCTTATCAATAACTTATTAATTTTACAATTTTTTATCCATATTCCTCAAGTTTTGGTTTAGTTGCATGCAGCACTTATCAAATCTAGCTATTCCAATTTCGATGTTTCATGAGCTCACTGAATAAACTCAGGACTAAAGCACATAAGTAGAATGTTAGCACATTAGTGTATATATATAATGGGCAAATACTGTACAGCGACTGACATACACTCAACTGCTCTGTATTTCACCTTAGCAAGGATATTCACTTAATAGTTTATATAGTTATGTATGACTGGCTGTGCTTCAGGCTTGGACGCTGGCCTGGTCAGACTCAACCTTGCCCTATCGTTAACTCCAATGTTCGTCTTACCAATTGCTTTGGTGAATTTACAGTTGAAATTGCAATTTTGTTCAGCGCACCACACGACGTATGCGTAATGTGCAGAGAGAGTCAGAGGCGACAGGACAGAGAGGAAGCAAAGAGAGCAAAAAAAAAGAGCAAAAGTTGCGAATGGTCTGACAAATTGCTTGGCTACTTCTTTAATGTTCTTTAACCTTAACAAAATGTAAAATCGCGGTCAGGAGTCAGACCCATACATATATACAAACTTGTTTTCTTGACTGTTAGGATTGTAAAGGGCAACAGTTGCAACTGGGAAATGTGGCAACAGTTGCAACTGATTGCAAATCAAAGCGACTCAAGCCATTTAAACCTGACAACTTTATAACATCTATAGAAATGACTCAAGATTATTCATATTGACAGTTTCCTTAAGTGCACTGTTGACATTCATACAAGAGAGCTGTATGCATTTTAGCATTTTAGTCATTTTATTATTAAATTTAAATCATTCACGCTAAACTCTTCATATATCTACATGCATCGAAGTTTTTGAAACCTGAAACTTTTCACTTGAAAAATTGTATGAGTGTTAAACTCAGCAGTTGACTTCACTTGACTTGACTTTGAGTCAAGTGTGTCCTTGTCCTTGTTAGAAGAAGACAACCCACTCAAAAAGCACCTTGCCTCAAATACCTGGCAACACTTGCATGCCACATATATGTACATATGTACGCGGAGCATTCCATAGAATTTGACTTCAGTTGTGTGGCACATTAAGTTGTTGTCTGCTTGTTTTTATTGTTTATACATATATTTAAATGCCTACCACATCCACTTCACTTTCACTTTCGCTTTCTGGTCTGCTGCGTGTGTGTGATACCACAAAATACCCGTAATAGTTGGAAGCCAATGCAAATGTTGTGCAAATGATCTTTTTAGGTTGCCTTATTGCAACTAGACATGCACTACGTATGCCCCAACTGTGAGCGAGCTAATCAAAACTGACATGAAGCGGTAATACGAGCCTGTGTTGAAAGACCTGAGGCCTTTGCCTTCGACTAGT